GTTTCATTCTCACATAAAGCTTTTTGGTATCTCGTAAGTCCAGACGATCTTAGAGCAAGAGTGGAAGTCTCTTCTGTTGTTGTTACAGTTGCTGGAGTTTCTGTTGAGCTTGTTTGTAGGACTACTTCATTTTCAATTGAAGACATACTTTCAAATTCATTATTTTGATTAAACTCATCTATTGTGTTCTGGATTGGTGCTGTTACTTGTTTAGTCGTGGTTGTTTCCTCAATCTTTTCTGTTACTGGCATTTCATCAATTCTCGAAACAGATGTAGAAGGACAGCAAACGTAAAGCATTCTTCCACGAAATTTACAGCGATAACTCATGATCTCTGAATTTTTTCTCTGTCTAAACAACTGCTTTGCATAATCACATTCGATTATTTCCATGCAAATTCCTTGAACATTGTCTTTTGCGACACAATAATCTCCATGATCTAAATCAAAATTTTTACTTGCACTGACCAAATTTATAATTAAAATCAAATGCAAAACGAAGAAAATCATAAAAGTGTTATGAATTATTTCCATGCCGTAATCACTATCTTGCTTTCATTCACAGTTCACAAAATTATCACTTAAATGTCGTACTGAAATATTCTTACGGACTGAAAGCTATCAGGTCCGATCGACTGCTTATATTTGTTTTAAAGTCTCTTTTAGTTCTCATCGACTTTTTCAGAGAGATTTTTTCTTTGAGAATAAATAGTTTGTTTTGGGCTTATCAATTTTACTCACAATTCGTGAGTCACAGAAGTCAACAGAGTAGAATTAAAATCAATGAATTGATCTGTACTATGAGTTGTATCGAAACTGGAATTGAAAAAGATGAGTTCAAACTTATGGAAGAAATTTGGTAGGTCGATAAAAACTTGAGTTTGACCCTCAAACAAGTGTGTTACTAACGAGAATGTGATTATTGAAACTCCTGATTTTGAACTTTAGAACCTTCTTTTTAAAAAAATATTGAGCATTAAAAACTTTGAAAAAAAAATTGTCATTAAAAAATCTCAACAGGGGAGTTGGGGGGGTGGGTGTTTTGGGGTGTTTCAGGGGAACACCGCCCTCTATTTTCAGAAATTTTCAATAGGCATTTTTAAACTTTTATAGATCCGAACGATCTCAAATTATCCGTAGATGTTCTGAAATGTCCATTTTCTGTTTTTAACACAAAGTAAAAATGAAAAGAATGTTTACACATTTTTATTTCCGCGGAAATTCTCACATTTAGTTTATTTTTTATTTGATTGAGTTCATTGTAGAAATTACAAACAAACAATTATAAAAACAAATAAATATTAAATGCATAAAATTTTAAATTAATATTTAAGTTGCTGAAAAAATATAATTCATGACTCAAAATAATTTTAAAATAAAATACTGACAATTATACAACTATTTAAAAATTACTGATTAATTATTCAGTCTTCAAATTGTAGACTAAACCTTTTGTAAAAACCCAAGTCAATTCATAACAATTTTTAAAATTGAATCTAAGCCTAATGAACAAAGAGCTTGATCTGTACTTGAAGAAATATTAATTTCAGACTTACATCTTTGTAGATTCGGGTAAGGCTCAAAAATTTTTACGCTTAAAAACTTATGACAGCACACGAAGCATAGGTTGACAAGAACTTATTAATTTAATTCAATAAACTTAACTTTTAACCAAGCGCTGTCATTTCTCTTTCTATCCAATCCAAATATTTATCGATTCTCGTGTAAATTCCTGGGTATGATGATCCACATCCACTCCCATAAGAAATAACTCCAAATAAATATTTTTGGTCATCTTTAAAAATAAAATTAAAAATTAAATTTCTAGACAATTTCAAATGCTTTTTAATACTTACTTTGTTCATAAACAATCGGGCCTATAAAGAATAGAAGTAATTTAAAATATTACATTTTGGGGAATTCCACAATTTAAATATCAATTATTTTATTACCTCCTGAGTCGCCTTGACATCCATCAACATTTAAAGCACTTTGTGCACAAAACTGCGAGTCTACAATGTCTTTGTTTGCCGATTTAAGTAACTTTTTGCATTTGTCGAGTGGATATTCATTAACGATTCCTTTGAGTAGCCAATCTGATCTAGCTTGTGCTGAAAAATATGATTTTTAAACAAGTTATAAGATTTTTTGGTCTTATATGCTTGATACTGTCTGTATAAAAGAGCAACCTCAGGTTAATAAGTATGAGTATGTTCATCATTGTTGGGATCTTCAGAATATGCTCATTATTAGTTATCAAGATGCATCTTTGCTTTGCAAAACAACTTTTTTGAACAACTTCTTTTTCTTCCTCATTTTGTTATTTAATCTCTTAACATATCTCAGTCATCACTATCGTGTCTACTCTCTGAAGCATGTGATATTTATTTGATGATCTATTTACTCTCTCAAAACTGGTTTTGATTAATTGTGTGTTTTTTTTCTCTATTACTCTTTTCAAAATAATTTACTCAAGTTGAAAATTGAGTTGAAAATAAGTCTGATTTTGAGAATAAAAACTATTTATTTGGGGATTCCCTGTACTCAGTCTTAACTGAATCATATCTTTAAAAAATTTGTCATAATAATGTGCCAATGTTCATAATTAACACTAGTTTGATAACTTGTTTGGAAAGTTTTTATTCTAATTGATTGTTTCCAGTGGTGTAATTGTGGTATAAGTGAATTATTTTCCAAAGATCAGCTTAAAATTTGCAAATCCCATATTAATTGGCGCCAAAAATGTTTTAGGGAAGTTAATTTAAATGGTATTCTAATGAAATGATCAAAAATGATCAGAAAATGATCAAGAATGATCAAAATTCATCAAAATTAATCCAAAATAATCCAAAATGATCAAAATGCAATTTATCAGTTCCGCACCCTTTATTGATTTTTGATTTTTCTCAAAGCAGCAAAAAGTCTTGCTTAGACAAAATTTATGTCTTATGGAGATTAACAAGTGGAAGATCAATTTGAAGTAAACTTTGCGAGTGTGGCTAAGGATCACAGTTAATCTGTAGCAGGGGCGTAGCCAGAAATTTGAAGAGGGGGGGACAAAAAATTTTTAAAAATTTTAAAGGGGGGGGGGGGGGGGTATTTTTGTGATTTCTTCCTCAAGACCCTAGCAAAATAAAGAAATTTCTGTTTACGTTGGGGGGATTTTACCCCCCCCCCCCCACCTAGCTACGCGCCTGATCTGTAGCAACTACTTAATAAAGTCACTAAATCTCTTTATACTCACTATTCGTATCAACAGTCCCAAATCCAGTAATTGTAAAATTTTCTTTCGGATTAACCGGATTTTTCGTCGACAAACAAATCGGTTTAACAAAGTCTGTATATTTTACAGGCTTCTTCAACTTTATCAATGCGATGTCATTCTGACGACTTTTTCTTGAATACTGCGAATGTATCGTAATTTTCTGAAATAATTTGTATCAATCAGCAAAGAATTATCTTCTTAAGCAAATTAGCAACTCACATCTATATTTACATCTACGACGGGTGTGTCATCGTCAGCATCTGTCAAGTTTAAAGATGTCTAGAAGAAACATTATAAATAAATAAATATTGCTAATGAATTAACTTGACTGTTACTCACTCTTCCTAATCTAACCATCACTGGCAACTCGGATTTCTTATTTGCACAGTGAGCAGCAGAAATTATTATATCGTCGGCAATTAATGATCCACCACATTTAAAATCAATTTCACTTTCAAGGCCACGATAACCAAGTGCGACTTGATATGGAAATTCACCAATTTCAGCTTTTCGTCCATTTATGATATTTAAATTAATCACTAAGTCAGGCTTTGTATTAATGCATAAAGCTTTTACAAATTTTGGATTTCTATTTAATTGGTGAGATTCTGTTGGACAACAAACAATCGATTTCTTTCCAATATATTGGCATTGCACTATTGCTGATGTATTTTTTGCATCAAATAACTTTTTTACTGATTCACAATTAGATATTTCCGAGCAAATTCCTTCCTGGTTATTTTTTAATTTGCATGTGTCGCCTAAAGTTCTCTCTGAATTATCACCATAGTAAGCAAATGCTGCAGAACTTGTAAGCATATTAATTGCTATCAATATTAACATTTTAACACTCAATTTTATCATTTCGAAGCCGTTAAGTTGAACAAAAAACAAGATATTAATTTTAATTCGATGTTTCTTCTTTGATTGCTCTTTTGCTATTAACACGCGCAGTGCTATGAAAAAAATGACAAGATTCTCTCAACAAACACGCAGTTTTATACAAACTTTTATTCTCAATTCCATAAAGAGACGAATTTCTTGGAAATCTCATTTACTGACACAAGAGATCAATATATGACTCTTGACTGTGCTAACTTAATGTTATCGTATTCTCTTTCCACACAAACATGTGCATGCTTTTAAAGCTTTATTTGTGATCGTTGACTGTTAGTCATCCTAAGTCCTTAACAAAAGAATATTCAATAAATTGCATGCGCATGTTGATTTGATTCTTCACAATCCTGCGTCAAATATTTTAATTTGAAACATAAAGCTAATCCTTACGCTTAAAAACTAAGTTTAGATTGATTCATAGTTTGACGTATTATTACAATTTCTGAAGAAATTGATGATGTCAATCAGTTGCTATTTAATTACTGTAATCACTTCAGCTGCATAGCTAGAATTTTGAAAAAACGAAAAAAAAATAGGGGAGACATTTGGGATGTCCTTTTAAAAAGAGCACGTGGAAGACCAAAGAACTAATGCAAAGAGGCTGCTGATGGTATAGGAAATTGGCAAGCGTTAGCCAGCGATAGAGCTAGTTTTAGGCGGCATCTGAGGGAGGTCATAGATCACAATTAATCTGTAAGGTAATCGAAGTAAAGAAGAATGAAGGATGTTTCTCTATTTTCTTGAAATATTTCGGGTCATATTGCAGTCGACACGAATTAAGCTTGGTCAATTTCATTCTTGAATATTTCTTTTTCAGAAATTAAATTTTTTTTAATAACCAACTTTTCAATAGTTTCACAATAATTTAAAATAATAATCAACAAATATTTTTACAATTTTCATAATTCAGTCTCTTAAAATAATTTTAATTGCGGATTTGAGCATGAAATTTTTACAATTCATCTTCACTTCATGACTTCCATTTCTGATTCAATCCAGCTGATGTATTTGTTAACTTTAGTGTAGACTACGGCATTTAATGATTCGGTTGCAATTCCATAAGTTGTGATTCCATAAAGGAAATGTGAATTGTCTGTAATATAATTAAGCAATTTTCAAAATTAATTTTAGTTTTCGCCAATTTTTTTCCCTTTTTCTAACACTTTTTGCAATTGACAGTTTCTTTTAATCATCTGACAACTTATTATGGAGTAAAACACGTGACTATATAATTGCTTTAATGAGGGAATCCCGAAAGATTTAAAAAATCAACTAAACTAATCGCTAATGTAAAAATAACGAATAAATCCAAATTTCAATGAGGGGCCGTTCACTTATTACGTTACACAAAAAACGACTTTTTTCACCCCCCCCCCCCTCCCCTGATGAATAAATTTGAGAAATTCTTTCCAAGGCGTGGAAACTCAGATTTAATCCTGAAAAATGTTTATTGGCTTAGGGATTCTTTTAGCATTTGGGAATTTTTTAAGATTAATCCTGAGTTTCCACGTCTTGATTCTTTCATATTGCGGACATTCAACAATAACAATAAAATCCGAAAAATAAAACTCAGAAAAAAATGCAATTTTAATGAACAACCTAATGTCTTTAAAGCTACAAAAGTCATTACTTACTCTCTTCATAACTTATTGGATTCCCCGCAACTTTCAAGCTATTGTTATTTTCAGAATCAATTAATACACAAATTTGTGAATCCAAAATTTCGATTCCAATTTTACTCATTGATGTTTTACACTTCTGCAGAGATTCTTGATGAGTTGTTCCTTTGAACAGCCAAGACTCAGTTTCTGTGAATTGAAGAAAATATTATTCATAGCTGCATAGACATAATTTAATAAGAACTCACTATTAAGGTTTGGAATAGCAAAATCGATCATGTTAAGCTCTTTCGGTAATTTATCATCGCTAAATGAAAGACAAATTGTGTCTACAACTTCCGAGAGATTTGCAGGCTGCTTTAGCTTTATTAATGCAATATCATTTTGTTTGGTCACATTTGAATATTCTGGATGAATTTTGACTGCCTGGAATCCAAAAATAAAAATTATTATGTTGGGTATTTCTATTTTTTATCGAAACCTGCTTTCTTGTTTCAAAATATTTCTACGACCTACCTCAATAGCTATATGTTGTGCCCATGTATCGTTTAAAACAGGAGATGTCTAGATGAAAGTGAAATTGAGAAGTTAAATAAAATTTAAAATTGATGGAAATGTAGTAATTTTGATGAAACTTAATAAAGTATTTGATATTAAGCCATATTTTAGGTGAATCTCGCAGTACGAAAGTAGATTTTCGTGTTCGAATCCTTGAACAAAAAACTGAGAATCTTTAAATTTGTGTCTTTTCTTAAGACTTGGGTTTGATTCCACCCTGAACTTATATGTATTTTTTAAGAAATTCACAAGCACTAAAACCTAATAATCAAATCAAATCATAAAGAAGGTAAAGACTCACCCCCAGAGTAGCTATCACTGGCACCGAACCATTCATATCAACACAAGCAGCAACCGTCAAAACTATATTATCAGCAATCAGTGAACCACTGCATTTTATTTCTACCGTTCCGTTTTTATTTTTAAATCCAAGTGCAACATGATAAGAAATCTCTCCAATTCTTGCATTCTTTGTTCCTTGAGATTTTTTAGTTTTACATAAAATTTGCTCGAATGTTGAAGGTTTCTCTAATGTTGGACAGCAAACTAATGGAACTTTTCCTTTAAATCGACAATTGACAATTTCTGAAGTCCTTTTTGATCGAAATAATTCTTTGGCATGATCGCACTTCATTATTTCCTCACAAGATCCTCTTTTGTTATCTTTTAAATAACACACATCGCCCAGATCCTTTTCAGAATTGTCAAAATTATTTAACAAAGCACTTCCAATATGAATCACCGATAACAATGTGATAAAAAATGCCTTAAAAAATATTTTATTCATTTTTGGTTGTAAAACTATTTTAAAAATCACGAATTTAAATTTGCAAGACACGACTTTCCTTTTTATTTGAATTTTTTTATCTGATTAGACACAAGTTGAAGGCACGAAACTTGATAAATGAATGAATCTGCTCTCTTGAAAATTAAGTTTTTTATGATCAATTTTTCTCATTTTCGTTTCCAGTCAGAGATAAAAAAATGTTTCCAAAATCCACAAAAATCGTGAGAAGAACTGGATTTTGAAGAGTAAATTTTAAAATCTCGCACGTTTTACTCTTAAATAATTTATTGGTGATCTTAAGTCATTTTAAATTCACCGGCATTATTTTTTATGAATAACGAAAATAAAACATCAATAACTTGTTGCTTTTTCAGATTCTATTTTTAAACTGCCGTATTTGTAAAAATTTGCATATTTTCTTTTACGCTATAGCGTCTAGTGACGTCGTCAGCAAATGTTATGGCTTGCTCACGAACAGAAACTTAATAAGATGTTGTTAGTGACGTATTTAAATTTGTGTGGACTAATGACATGAATAATCAATAATAATATATTTTTAAACTTAGACTTAATGACGTCGATGTGGCACACCTAGTTTAAGGAACTTTTAAGTTAATTAAAGTCAACTGAAATTTGATTTATTTTTTTATTTTTAATATTGCACAAAATGTCCTTTTCGCTATCCTTTAGATCTTATTACTTATTATTTATTATTAAGTTTTAAATCACAATTCATTCGAGTGCAGTCATCTCAACTTCAATCCAATTCAAGAAGCTATTGACTTTTGTATAAACTGCAGGATAGTATGATGATCCACATCCAAATCCATATGATGTTATTCCATGCAGATAAAATTCACTTTTTCGCTCATAAAAAACAGGACCTCCAGAATCTCCTTGACAAGTGTCTACTCCATTGTCACTAAACCCACAAAACTGGGAATCAGCTATTCTTACTCCCTTATTTTCAAATTTACGCTTGCATTTTTCAAAAGGATATTCGCTTAATGTTCCTCTAAGAAGCCAGTCAGATCTCTCGTTAACTGAAGAATAAATAAATTAATAAAAATTTTGAGGTTAAATTTGAAAACTTACAATCAATTGATGTAAGTCCAAATCCTGTGATTGTAAAGTCTTCAGGTGCATCTGCGTCACTAGTTGAAAGACAAATTGTTGCTATAGATTCTGACGGAATGAAAGGCTTTACTAACTTTATTATGGCAATGTCATTTTGTTTGGATTTTGAACTGTACTTTGGATGGATTCGTATTTTCTTGAAAGAGTGGGATTCAAATAAGTTTTTAAGGTTAATTATTGAGGTTTCAATTTAATAGCCTACCTCAATCTCAATGTCTTGAACTGTTGATCTATCATGCTTATCATCTAGGTTCAAACATGTCTAAAGGATAGATTAATTATTTTTTAAACTACACAACCGATATTCAGTGACATGACTTAGACGAGGGCTTGAATCAAACCAAATTTTTCGGCAAATTATAAATATTAGCTTCTCCAACTTTGCCACATCATCAGAAAAACTTAAAAAAATCATAAAACTCACCCTTCCCATCCGAACCATAAATGGTTGAGCTCCTTTCTTGTTAACACAATGAGCAGCAGTCAGTACAATGTCATCAGCAATCAATGATCCACCACAGTTAAATTCTAATTTTTTTGATCTCCTCCAACCATATCCTAGTGCAACTTGGAATGGAAATTCTGCAACTTTTGCTTTGTCGCCATTAATAACATGATTTTCAATCCTGTCTATAGGCTTTGTATTTTTACACAATGCTTTTTGGAATTTAAACGACGATTTTTTAATTGGTTTCGAAAAATTTGAAATTTTTGGATATGTCGGACAGCACACAAATGGAATTCTTCCAACTAAACTGCACACAGTTATTTCTGATGATCTTTTTGCTCGATACAATTTATTTGCAAAGTTACACTTCAGAAATTCAATGCATTGTCCTGGTTCATTGTTTTTTGTCAAACACTTTTCACCTTCAATTAAATCTTCATCATCATATGCATAAATGAAGGATTCACTTAAGGTAAAAATATTAATGAATATTAAAACTAAAATAATTAAATTTGTATCACAAAACATTGTTCTTTTTTTGGTTATCAGTAAAATCAATGCACTTGGTTCTCAAACTCAACACGACTAAATATTAGAAAGGAATGAAATCCTTCTAAGATTGTCTTCTATTTTATATCAACCTCATTTCTTGCTCATTTACATCAATTTAACAACAACAAAGAATTACTCAGCAGTTTTTTGGAAACTGGATTTAAATCAAATAACATACGTATGTCCTCAAATGCAAAGTTGCAAGTTAAATTACATTGTTATCGAACTTTTTACAACTTTACAATCTTTTCGTCGACTAGAAAATAGAAAAAAAATTTATCAATAGTAAAAATTGTTCATCCCACGACTCTTTTTAAAATTCCTGATTACACCTCTACAAAGAATTAATATTGGTTGATATAGCTGAATGTCCTGATATGTCTGTTTTAACACGTAATCAATTTGTATTAAATTTTAAACGTATGCTGTGATGTCAAAAGCTTACTATTAAGGGATGACGGGGTTTAGGGACCATTCACTCATTACGTAACGTTTTTAATATAGAAAGAGGGAGTTTGTGATTTCTGTGATCTATCACTAAGATTGCAGTATTACACTTGGTATTAGTAATTGGCAAGCGGTAACCAGCGATAAAGCTAGCTACAAGTGCCATCTAAGGGAGGTCATGGATCACAATTAATTTATACGGCCAGAGATTGAAGTAAGTATCACTAAGATTTTAAGACATATCAAACAAAACAAATTTTTCTTAATACAAAATTTTGTGACATGAGAAGGAGACAGGATTAAAAGAAAAATTTTTTTTTTGAACTACTTAATTAATAATTTTTGAAAGATTAGAGCAAAATTGTTGTAATGGGTCGGTAGCGAAATGGTCTAGTACTTCGGTACATAATTATTGCAATACCGACACAGCGAGAGTTCGAGACTCGCCATGGAGAATTTTTTGCTTGTCTGTCCTTTGACAAACCAAATATACTGAAAATGAAGCTCACAGCCTTCCTTTGTAGGCTACAGGCAGTAACGTTATCAAAAGAGTGGTTCGGATCTCACTTTAAAATATACCCGGATAGCACAAGTCAGTTAATCGATCAAATTGGAACCCCATATCCCCCTCCGTTTGGATTCACCTTTTATTAAGACATTCCTACTTCCAACGCACTCGGAATGAAATATTGTCAAATGTTAATAATTTATGACCATTTAATGACCAGCAGTTTATGAATGCATCAACATTTATATAAAGCATGTATAAAAAATGTATATATAGAAACATGTCAATCGACGCAAACATAATTTTTAAGAAAAATCCTTTTCTAAAGGATTCATACTAATTAGTGAAAGACCCCAAATCCAGATTGATTAAAATCTAATTAAGTTAAACATTTATTTACGTATTTAGGGATTCAAAAGGCTTTCACAATCATCACAAAAATCTCAAATGCACCAATCCAGCATCTATACAATTTATAAAATAATAATTTTTATTCAAATGTTGACATTTCTTCTTCAATCCAGTCCAAATATCTGTTGACCTTTGTATATATTGATGGAAATACTGAAGAACCACATCCACTGCCAAATGATGTAATTCCAAACAAATAATGTTTATTGTTTTTCTGATAAGATACAGGACCTCCTGAATCTCCATGACATGAATCAACTCCTTTGTCACTTAAGGCACAGAGCTGAGAATCGATAACTTTAATTCCTTTTTTTCCATATTCATATTTGCACTTGTCATGTGGATATTCGGTTATTGTTCCTTTAAGAAGCCAGTCTGATCTTTTTGTGTCTGAAATTTAGGATAAGAATTAAAAATTGAAATTTAAACTACATCAAGGCAACTTACATTCTAATGATGTGATCCCAAAACCAGTAACGGTAAAGTCTTTTGGAGCATTTGCATCACTTGTTGAGAGACAAATTGTTTCAATTGAATCTGATGGTTTGAAAGGCTTCCTTAACTTTATTATTGCAATGTCATTGTGCTTGTATTTGACACAATATTTTGGATGGATTCTAATAGCCTGTAAAGGGGTTGAACTTTAAATTATGGAACAAATTAAATTGATTGTTAATTTTGTACCTCAATTTTGATGTCTTGATGATCTGATTCATCATATTCATCATTTAGATCGAGAGATGTCTAAAGGATTAAAAAACATAATTTAGCACAAGAATTAAAATTTTAAAATTCATCAAACTCACCCTTCCCAATCGAACCATGACTGGTTGAGCTCCTTTGATATTAACACAATGAGCAGCAGTCAAGACAATGTCATCAGCAATTAATGAACCACCACAGTCAAAATTAAAACTTTTGATTTCCTGTGAAAAATACCCAAGTGCTACTTGAAATGGAAATTCTGATACTTCTGCCTTATCTCCACTAATGATGTGATTGTCAAGTTTTTCGAAAATCTGCACATTTTTACAAAGTGCATTTTGGAATTTCGTTGATGATTTGATGACAAGCGGTGATGCAATTAAGTCTTTTGGATATGATGGACAGCACACAAATGGGATTCGTCCAACTACTTTACATAATGTAATTTCTGATGATTGTTTTGATCGATAAAGTTGGTCGGCAATTTTACATTTTACAAGTTCTGTGCATGTTCCTGGTTCGTTATATTTTGTCACGCACTGCTCACCAATACTGAAATTATCATAATCATATCGAAAGTTGAAGGATTCACTAATATTGAATAAACTGATCCAAATAGTTAAAATTACAATCTTTGTGTTTAACATTTTTAATTGAAAAATGAAACTTAACTTTACACGACGGAACCTTGGAGATAAATGATGATTCCCCCAAAATTATCATCGTTTTTATAGCAACTTCCTTTCTCATTCGCTCTCACATGGAAGCAAAAATTACAAAAAAAAACTGGATTTTAAGCTATCAATAACGATTCTTTTTCTACGCGCGGTCCACACTATGAAAATATTTTAAGATTCTTTTCATTGACTTAAAAGAAATAGTAAATTATGAGTCAAAATATCAAGAATGCTTCAATAGCCTCTTGAATAAGCACGCAATCTTCAGACGGCTAACGTAATTGTTGTGACGTAAAAACTTCTCTTGTGACGTCAAAATTTCTCTAGTAACGTTTTGTGTATCGAATAAAATCAATGCGTGGAAACTATCGCAAATATCAAATTCATCCCATATATCCCAAAAATATTCAAAATAATCCCTGAGCCTGTATGCATTAGAATTTAGATATCCCATTATATCCTGAAATTACACGTCCAATACACTTAGGATACGTTGGGATATCTTTATTATCGTGCATATATGCTCAGGAATTTTTTGAATATTTTTGGGATATGTGGGATAAATTCGATATTTGGGATAGTTTCCACGCCTTGAATAAAATATATCAGAATACAATGGTATAGAAGCCTATGGTCCTAGGTTGTCATTTAAGAAGCAAGATAAAGAATTGATAGTCACAGAAACTAAAAGCTTACAAATACAAGGCTTGCAATGATAAATGACACAAAGTCTCGCATTGATTGATCCTTCATTGATTTGTCATAAAATTAAATTTACTAATCTGTTGAAAGGATGCAAAACAAAGGCATATACACTAAGGATTAATCCCCAAAAATTCAAAAAAAAATCCCAGTACTTCCTGTCATCAAGCTTTGAAATCTCTGCATTATTTGACTAATAGTTGAGGGATTTCAAGTAGAATTCAAATATTGATGACATGAAAGCTGGTTTTTTTTTGCGATTTTTGAATTTAAGGATTAAAGATGTTATAATGATCAAGAAATTATAATTTTATTCATTAGATATATTTTTATTTTAAATTTTAAATCTTTTTCATTCTACAAAAATGAAAAATCACAGAAATTTTAAATTCGTATTTTTTGAACTATGTTACAAAAGTTCTAGCCAATCGAATTGAGCTTCAATTAAAAGCTTCTAAACTTAATCTCAAAGTCAGACATAACTGCTTCAATCCAATCAAGAAACTTATTGACTTTTGTGTAAATAGCAGGAAAAGTTCCACCACAAGAATTTCCAAAGGATGTAATTCCTTGAAGATAGCGCACATCATTATGTTCATAAAATAAAGGACCTCCTGAATCTCCTTGGCATGTATCAACTCCTGTGTCACTTATGGCACACAATTGAGAATCAACAATTTCAAGTCCGACAGATCCAAAGTCTTCCTTGCATTTTTCAGTTGGATATTCAGTGACTTTTCCTTTAAGAAGCCAATCAGATTTTCTGATATCTGTTTAGAAGAAATAGTCATGTTAATAAAATCAACTAGTGAATGTTAAGTAATAGCCATTATTGGTAATAGCCAGTAATAGATTACCTTTTGCATTTGTTCTTCCGAATCCTGTAATTGTGAATTCATTCACTTGAACATCGTCACTTGTTGACAAGCAAATTGTTCCAACAGAACTCGATGATGCAACAGGATATCTTAACTTGATCAAGGCAATGTCATTATGACGAGTGGATCTCTTATAGTCAGGATGCATTATTATAGTCTGTAGAATAAGTTTAAATAAATTTCTATAGCTTTCATTATTAATTTTATTTGCCTTACATCGATGTCTATATCTTGAGCTTCTGAGTCATCATCCTCGTCAGTTAAATCAAGTGAAGTCTAAATTGATAGAAAAATGATAAGTAAGTTTAAAGAATGTTAAGGAAAATCAAGCTTTAAACTCACTCTTCCGACTCTAACCATCACAGGTTGTATGTTCTTTCTATTAACACAATGAGCAGCAGTTAATACAACATCATCAGCAATTAATGAACCACCACAATTGAAGTCCCAATCATTTTCATTTTCTTTTTCGTACCCAAGTGCAACTTGGAATGGAAACTCTAATACTTCTGCTTTAACGCCACCAAAGATGTGATCATCAACTTTAATTTGAGGTTGAATATTCTTACAAAGTGCTTTTTGGAATTTCTTTGAATGTTTTCTGATGGGTTTTGTGACAAATTTGATCTTGGTTTTTGTGATTGATGGACAGCAGACGAATGGTATTTTACCAATAAACTTGCACATTGTTATTTCTGCAGATTTTCCTGAGTTGTATAATTCCTGCGAAGACTTGCATTTGACAAATTCTTGACAGCTTCCTGGCTCCTTATTTTTTGTTAAACAATTTTTACCGATGATATTGTCTGAACTTTCAGAATTATAAATGAAGGCTTCACTGATGGCAGTCAAAAATAATAATATTGAAACTTTAGCGAACATCATTTTGGGTTTTTTCTAGTTTTATTTTTTCTTTTGTTAATCTTAACACCACAAGATGCTAGAAGTAAATGAATGTTCTCTCAAAATCGTCTTCTTATTTATATCCAAATATCTCTTCTCTATTTTTCTCAAAAAGACTTCTCAATATCCCAAAAATACGTAGCAAATATTCCGTCTATTAAGGAATTTCTTTTCAAAAACCAGATATCAAAAATAATCTCGCAAATTCTCCGAGCCATAACAGAACATCTTGTTGATAGCGTCTCATGGAGTTTCTCTTCATACAGTGACGACACATGATAACAAAAGATGGTCAATGAATATGGTAACTTGATAGCTTCACATCTGAATGCGTATGTGCTTGATTTGGTTTACGTTTCGCGACAAGCTTTAAGTTGATTGTGTGACGTTGTGAATTTAATTGCTGCAATACTTGCGAGCATGTTCAAAAATTGTGACGACAGCGAATATTGATGAGCACATGGTTATGACGTCAAAATTGTTTTATGCTTCAGAATAGTTTTAAAATAAAGACTTGCGACACACCTTAAAGTTTTTGATTACATCAATTTGATGATAATATGAACATGATGTCTAAAATTAAGTTTTAATAGTTGCTAGGAGCAGGGCTAGGAGTATATTAAGGGATTTTAAATTTTGTAGGCTTTCATAGAAAATAGTTCCAAACCTCCTCCTTTCAAGGCGTTTAAATTCGGGATTAATTCAACAAAATTCCAAAAAAAATCCATATAGCTTCGTGTTTAATAAAAATAATAATAATAATGTTAGAGGTTTACATTCAAGCGATTTGTTTCTACACGCTCCGAGCTGAAGGCACAGCGATCCTAACAATGATTGAATCTAGCTTTGTGTTTATTGGATTTAAATTTTTCAAGCATTTTGGAAAAAACCCTTTGGTATTTTATAACTTTTTTTAAACACCTTCAACCAATAGAAAATCTGGTGATTCACTCGTATTTACAACATCCAAAAGTCAGTTTTACAATTCATTATTAATTTATTGTCTGATTTCTTTAAAATGTCATTAACATTTTTTGTAAGATTTTAGATAAGTTAATTTTTTTTTTCTAACCTTAAAATATTAAATACTGTTATTGATCATCTAGTTTCATTCAAGCGAATCCATTTCTTCTTCTATCCATTCAAGAAACTTAGAAACTCTAGTGTAAATAGTTGGATAGGTTGTGCCACATGCCATTCCAAATGATGTGATTGCTTGCAGATGAAAATAATTATTTTGTTTGAAAATCAGTGGACTTCCAGGTTCTCCTCGACAAACGTCTACTCCTGTGTTACTTACACCACAAAACTGAGAATCAATGATTTGAATTCCAGCTGTGTTTGATAATTTTTCTTTACATTTCTCAATTGGATATTCGTTTACTTTTCCTTTGAGGAGCCAATTTGATCGCTTCTTAGCTGTAGAAATTACTCATATTAATAGATATGAAGATTTTAAATTTATAACTTACATACCAAACTGATTAACTCGACCAAAGCCTGTAATCATGAAGTCTTTAGGCAAACTTGCTTCTTTTGTTGATATGCAAATTGGTTTAATAGAGTTTGAAGGCATATAAGGTGCTTTTAATTTTATTATAGCTATGTCATTTTGATGAGACCTTCTGGTGTATTTTGGATGAATTTTGATGGTCTATTGAATGTGTAATGTGATTTTATTTAATGACTAATCTTTTAAAATCTTGTATTCTTAGAAATTAAGGGAAATGGACACGTAAAGTTTTAACTATTTGTTGCTTACCTCAATCGAAATATCTTGAGCAGTCGAGTTGTCATGAAAATTGTCTAGATCAATTGACGTCTGTAAAAATATTCAAGATGCATAATAAATCCATAAGATGATTCAAACTTAAAAATTATAGATTCTCAAAAATAACACTCACCCTTCCCAATCTAACCATGATTGGTACACGATGTCTTCTACTAACGCAATTCGCAGCTGTCAACACAATATCATCAGCAATCAATGATCCTCCACAATAAAAATCTAAATCTTCTCCACCTTCACTTTTATATCCGATTGCAGCTTGAAATGGAAATTCTCCTATTTCTGCATTTACTCCTTTGTCAATCTGATTATCAATATTGTAGACAATTTGATCATCATTGCACAAAGCTTTTTGAAATTTCGACGGCTTTTCCCTGACAAGTTTATTTGATACTAATGGAAATGATGTTTGATCTTTTTTTGGACAACAGACAAGTGATTGAACTCCACCAGTTGTACAGAACTTTATTTCTGATGTTTTCTGAATGTCATACATAAGCTGTGCATATTCACACTTTGTATATTGCTCACAATATCCTTCCTCATTATTTCTAAGTGTACAATTTGAACCTAATCCTAAATCAACAGCTGCAAGATTGTATAAAGAAGCTTCACTTGATATAAATGCACAGAATAGACTTAAACTTAGTGGCACAATTTTGAGATCCATTTTAAATTTTAAATCTACAACTTAACGATTCCAAATCTTAGAATCAAATGACAATTCTAATGAAAATTTCTTCCTGTTTTATATTAAAAAATTTTAATCTCGTTTGAATGAATCCTGATATTCAAATGTACGCACGAATATTTATAATATATGTTAATAAAATATGTTCTTGCAGCATCATTCAATGACGCAAATGAAGTGAAAGACACGATTAAGGGGTTATCAAATATATTTAAGCCTATTGTAGCTTTCAGTAGGTTGAAAATAAACCAGTATTATGTTCTTACTTTTAGGAATGAGTTTTTTTTACTTAAGATCCCCCCCCTATCACCCATCCCAACTCGAAATTGTTTTTTTGATATTTTTTAAAGTTTACCGTGGATTAAAAAAGGTTTGGCTCACCTGCCTCAAATTAGCATGTTAATAAATCTAGACAAATAGTAAAAGGCACATAATTTACTCATTTGTAGACGAAAAGGATTTTTTTGTGACGATAAAAAAAATCCCGAAACTGATACAAAAACCGAGCAGCACACAGTTTGTAAAGCGAAATTAAAGCTGTCGTAGCTTAAATACATGAATCATTCAAATTCAATTTTTGATGTTAATAATCAAACTAATCCATCTGAATTCAATTCATTCAATATTATTAATTTATTTGCAAACTACATTTGTACATTCAATTGGCTCCAAATTCAAATTATCACAGAAGTTTAAGCTTCAAAAAAATTTAAAAATATTAAAATTCATTCCAATGCTGACATTTCTGCTTCAATCCAATCAAGAAATTTAGTAACTCTTGTGTAAATTGCTGGATAAGAGTTTCCACACGATGTTCCAAATGATGTAATTCCTTGAAGGTGGAACTTGTCATTTTGTTTATAAAAAAGTGGACCTCCTGAATCTCCACGGCATACATCGATCCCATCATTACTTGTTGCACAAAACTGAGAATCGGCAATGCTAACTTGAGCTGTGCTGAATAATTTTTCCTTGCATTTATCAAGTGGATATTCATTGACATTTCCTTTTAGTAGCCAATCTGATTTTTCGAGTGCTGTTGTGGGAAATAATTTAATTAAAAATCATAAAATAAATGTTTTGGTTACTTACTGTCCGCACTGACTCGTCCATAACCTGTTATTGTAAATTCTTTTGGCAAATTCTCATCTTTTGTTGATAAACAAATCGTTTTAACAAATAATGAAAGAACTGCTGGCTTTTTTAACTTTATCAAAGCGATATCGTTTTGACGCAACTTTCTCGTATACTTTTTATGAATTCTTACTGTCTGGAAGGTTGTTTAAATAAGTTTTGTGTTAAATGTTGAACATTAAAGAAGACCTACCTCAATCTCAATATCTTGAGCTTCTGTGTCATCATATTCGTCAGTTAAATCAAGCGAAGTCTAAATATTTCAAAAATGAGAAGCTAGTTTGAGAATATCAAGCTTTAAACTCACCCTTCCAATTCTTACAACTTTTGGAACAGTATCCTTTCTATTTAGACAATGAGCAGCAGTCAGTACAATATCATCAGCAATCAATGAACCTCCGCACTTGAAATCCAATTTATTTTCATTTTTTCCTTTGTATCCAAGCGCAACTTGGAATGGGAACTCTCCAATCGCTGCTTTTACACCATTTGTGATGTGATCTTCAATTTTAAAGTCTGGCTGAGCATTTTTGCATAATGTAATTTGAAATTTTGAAGATTTATTTGTAGGATTATCAGAATTAGTTTTGAAATTTGTCGGACAGCACACAAATGGTCTATTTCCTATTCGTTTACATTTTATGATTTCTGAATGTTTCTTTAAATTGTATAATTGCTGTGCATAGTCACATCTGGCAAATTCTTTACAAATTCCTTGTTGATTGTTTTTTAATACACAACTTTCACTTTGCTCTGCACTAGTAGCTTCATCATAATGTTCAAAAGATTCACTAAGTTTAATTAAATTACATAAAATCAAGACTAATGAAGCTAATTTTATAGTCAACAACATTTTTATTATTCTCGATTATTCGATCAATTTTAATCAACGTATCAGCACGAGATATAAGAATGAAATGACAAAAAAATACTATCTTGGATAAACATGAAATGTTGATTCTCTCATATTTCCAGCTTACTCTCAGCTACGCAAAAACTGGATTTTACTCATGAGAATTTTGCAATCACACACGTGCTTTTGGATACAAATTTTATCCACATTAATATTGTTTACAATTTTTTACATTGTCAGTCGTTCTCGTGTGTTCTCCAAACAAAAGAACAAGAAAAACCAAAGATGAATCAACAGGAACCAATTTGTTTTATTGTTTATGGAATTTATTAGCAGACGTTTATTAATTTTATTAATTTTGTAAGAAAAAGAGATGGATTGGACTATAACAAGTTATATTTCACATTATAAAAAGTTTGAGAATCAGTGCTCAAAAAACATCAAAGATTTTGATAACTTTAGGGTTCGTTCATCAATTACGTTCGAAATTATCTTTAACAAATCAAGCTCTTCAATTCACTCCAAATTCGTCATTTCCGTCTCTATCCAGTCGAGAAATTTGTTCACTTTTGTATACACGAGTGGATAATTTGAGCCGCATCCTATACCAAATGAGATAATCCCGTATAAATATTGTAAGCCATCTGTTAAGGAAATAAACATTTAATTTAATGTATTAATAATTAATAGTTTGCGGCTTACCTTGCTCATAGCTCATAGGACCTCCAGAATCTCCATGACAACTTCCAGTTCCAGCATTACTAAACGCACATATCTGATTGTCAATGATTGTCTTTTTGTACGTTGCAAATGTTTTTCGGCATCTCTCATATGGATATAGACCAACAGTTCCTTTAAGGAGCCAATTTGATGTTTCCGAAGCTAGAAAAAAATTAATTCTTTATTTTAATTCAACGTGTGACTTACTTTAGACAGTTTATATAGTCTAATATGTGGAAGATTGCACATTAAGTGGTGTGTCTGTCGCGACTCACAATTAAGGAGTTGTTCGTATATTTTGTATCGCTGCTTAAGAAGGAAATTTAGTCAAGTTTTGTCGCACTTTATATTAAACACTTTAGATTCTCTAACAATCAGTTGCAATCAGTGAGGAGGCTCAAAAATTGCAATTTTTATTATGACAAAATATGTAAACAACCCCAAACTAGACACTACTCACTCCTAATGAGAAAAAAATGTAAATTCTTATACTCACTCATCGGATCTACTCTTCCAAATCCCGTTATAATGAAGTTTCTAGGCAGATTACGATCATTAGAAGAGAGACAAATTGTTTGAACAAAGTTTGTGAGAGTTGCCGGGTGTCTTAACTTTATTAATGCAATATCGTAATGGCCAGATCTCTTTGTGTGTTGTGGATGTATTTTTATTGTCTGTAAAATAAATATTTCAGTAGCAATGACTTCAATTTTAATGAGAATATTACCTCTATTCCAATATCTTGAGCTGAATTGTCGTCATCAGAATTTTGAAGATCAATAGATGTCTGAAAATATAAAGCAAATGTCATAAATTGAGCATTTAGCACTTATGTCACTTACTTTTCCCAATCTAACTAAGATAGGCATGTCATCAACCCGACTAGCACAATGTGCAGCAGTCAATACAAAATCATCAGCAATCAGTGACCCTCCGCATCTAAAATCAAACGAATTATGTCCATTTCGATAACCAAGTACAGCTTGGAATGGGAATTCTCCAACATCAGCTCTCACGCCTTTAATAATGTGATTATCAATTTTAAGATTGGGTTTTATATTTTTGCACAACGCATCTTGGAATTTTTTCGAAGAGTTTTTAACTGTCGGTTTTAATTCTGATGTTTCTGGAGGTGTCGGACAGCACACGAGTGGTTTAGTGCCAATATATTTACAGACAGTTATTTCTGATTGTCGTCTTGATTGATACAACTGCTGTGCATAATCACAATTCGAAAATTCTTCACAAATGCCCGGTTGACTATTTTTTAAAACACATTTATCACCTAAATATAAGTCCGTACTTTCATGGTCGTATGTAAATGCACTGATAAAAGTGATGACTGAAAGTAAGACAATAACTTGGCAGTGCAACATTTTATTTGGCTGAGCTGCTTGCTGAAGAACTAATTTGTACTTTTATACGACTTGTTTGCACAAGATTATGAATTGAAATGAAGAGCCTCTCAGAGCATTATTTTTATTTTATATAAAAAAAATCATTTTACTCTTTTCTTTTGTGACAACTCTCAGTCGCTGTAATTCTGAAAATGGGCACGGGAATATCTCACTGGAAAAGTTTTTGAATTCTTGGACATTCTGAAAAATAAGTCATGAAAGTAGAAAAACCGATTGTGACTCAACTTATATGATTTATTTTTGGTTTTACTCATAATTAGGAATTCAAAAAATTTCCACATGCTTTTCTTTATCCAAAATAACATAATTCCCTTTATGACTCTACAACAGAAGCAAAAAAAAATATGATAAGAAAATTGATAAAATTGATTAATTTTAAGCACAAAATGTTGTCATTCTTGTAAAATGTTTTGGCTTAATCAAATGTTCATTCTAAGTTTAACATTTCAATCTCTAACCAATCAAGAAATTTGTTAACTTTAGTGTACACAAGTGGATAACTCGAACCACATCCAATACCAAAAGAAATAATTCCATAGACATATCGGAGTCCATCTATAAAGACATTTAGGATTAAGATACAAATTTAATGTAATATAAGGTCTTCAAACCTTGTTCATAGCTCATTGGACCACCAGAGTCTCCATGACAACTGCCAGCACCAGAAGTACTTTGTGCACACAACTGATTATTCAAAATTGTCTTATTATAAGTTGAAAACGTTTTTCTGCATGTGTCATATGGATATAAATTGATTATTCCTTTAAGAAGCCAATTTGATGTTTCGGATGCTGAAATATGAGAATTTCATCAATCAGCACATCTATAACCACATGGCACATTAAGCCAATCAT